TGAAATGTGAACATACTGACATGGACATACATTTGTTTCTGGCATGGGCAAATCTTTATGCTCTCCATTGTCCTTTCAAAAAGAAAAATAATGCCAGCAAGTATGACCATAAAACCAGCACAAATTTCTCATCATTTTATTGAGAGTTTATATTTCGTATTTGCTGTTGAACAACAATGGACTACAGTCCTATGGGAGAAATGGGAATCCTTGTGATCCTAGTAACCCCAGTGTTACCCTTATTCTATAGCAGGGTTGACAAATTATTTCTGTAAAGGGCTAGATAATAAATATTTTTTATTTTAGGGGCCATATATGGTTTCTGCAGCAGCAAGTCAACCCTGTCACGGTGGTGTGAAAACAGCCATACAGAATATATAAATGAATGAACATGGCTGTGTTCCATTAAAACTTTATTTAGAGACACCAAAATATGAATGTCATACAGTTTTCAAATGTCACACAATATTACTCTTTGATTTTTTTTTTTTCCCCTTGACCATTTTTAAAAAATGCAAAACCTATTCTTGCTACTGGGCTATAGAGAGGCTGGGAGGGGATAGGCTAGATTTGGCCTGAAGGCCATAGTGCTGATCTTTGTTGAGTGCATTCTTAAAACCCAACCTAGATTTCCAGGGGTAGTAACTATTTGAGAGAAGATTAAATTTCTTGTTTTGTGCTGCATTTGAAAATAAACCAGAGGGCCCAAACTGCTGAATCTCAGAGCTACATGTTCTGCCTCAAGCACACTGAGAGCTTCACCCTCAGTTCGGGATCTTTGACATTTCAAGACATGAAAAAAAGACCTGGGCTTAAAAGCACAATAACACAGCTTTAGGAGAAGCGTACAGAATAAGTTTTGGAGGTTGTAATGAATTTTTGTCCCAAAACAATTTTAAAAACAAATTCATAAATCCATGGGTGGGAGAAGGTGTTACAAATACATCTGCCTAGAGGAAAAGAAGCAGAGTGGAGAATGACTCCTGCCAGCCACTTGGTTCTGAAAAGTCCTGCAAATGTCCTGATTTGGAGAATAGGCACTGAGGGCTAAAGGAAACTAAATGATCAAAAATGGCAAAAATATAACTCATTTGGCACAGGTCTCTTAACATACTAGAGCAAGTGAAATGTGCTCCCCAAAGCATGTTTTAGATTTATTTCCTGAATTTATATGAGGATGCTTGCTCAGCATAACACACACAAATCTTAAATTCCATTTAATCTTAGTAGATACATATAGGAGCATATCTACCTTGTTAAAAATGATTCGGTCAGCTTCGTGAAACACAGCTATCCTATTAAACTACATTTACCTATTTATACCAGAATAATTAATATGTAAAAGACCTTAAAATCCTAATGCAATAGGCTATTCCTCAAAGATAGTTGAATTATTTTACTGCTTGCCATGTGTACAAATGCATTATTTTTTGAAAACTGATATACCAATATCCATTTGGTTATCTTCATACCTACTTTTTAAAATTCTGACTCCAATCTATGTGATCTATTTTTCTTAATTATGCTGGTGCATTTGGACACCAGCAAGTGAATGCACACACAATTCAAGGAACACTGTTAATACTAGAAAATAGAATTCATAACAACAGTTGATTTTTAAACAAGTCCCTAAATGTCTTTGATTTTTTTTTTTTTTTTTTTTTGAAATGAGAACATTTAGCAAAACCAGTAGTCCTGAAATTCAGGTGAATGCTTTTAAATAAAACTTATTTTTTTCTCTTTGAAAAATGTTTAAAGAAGTGAATGTTTGTTCTCATCTTAGATGCTTCAAATCGTTACTTTTTTATGCACGGAACTTTGGGGAACCTTTTGTCATAGACTTTTCAAATTCTGACCAACTGAGGTAATTTTGAAAAATAGATTTTTTTTGTGGTGTCATAAAAATGCTGTATGCCGTGCAGATAAGATGATCTGCTCTGTAAATTTAGGCATTTATTCTATATCTTCAGTTCCATTTATTTGTCCTAAGCCCTATATACTCAATGACTTTATCTTTTCCTTTGGAACCCTCACTGAAAGAGTATAGATAAACTGTAAAAACTACATGTTAAGACAGCTGACTAGATTTATCCATGTAAGCTCATTGAGTAGTAATAATGGTTTATGAAGTTTAATTTCCTTTGTTGAGCTTACATGCTTTTTATTTACCTGAGTTCCTGGAAGTTTTATTACCATGATTAATTTCATCTGTCTGAGACTTTCCCCATCCCTGATACCCAGTTAAGATCCCATGCTTTATGTGGAAACCAGAGCAGAAATGGGAACATGAATCTTTAGCAATTTCACTACCTGGACACAGGCCAACTTATAATAGTATATATGCGTCACAAACTGAATTTTTATGTAGAATCTGTTTTCAAAATGTACCTTCAAACTAATGACCATGTTAAATTTACAATGGAAATTAGGTTAGATTTGAGGATTTTTGGAAATAATTACTGCGCCTTCTGTTCTCTTCTTTGGGTACAAACGGGAGGGGAGAATTGAGGGACCGTGATAAAATTCTACCATATAAGGTCTTTATATACTATTGTAACACAGGGCTAATTTTATAAAAAGAAGACATGGCTATGTGTGCATTCAGTGTGAATTTAGAGATACCACCCTTTCTTTCGTACTTGAAAGTGGTATTCAAATGCAAGTGTCTTAGGGAATAGTAACATCTAAATCCTTAATCAGTTAACAGATTAGATAGTAGTTATAGAGGAAGGTATAGATAGGTCTGAGCTCTATCTTAGCCCTGCGAAAATGCACTGAA